TCTTACTCCATGAGTATCCTGAAACTCAGTGCATCTTTTCCCTGGGGAAAATGAAAACACAGAGCCACCCAAAAAAACAAGCAAAATATATTGGAAGGAAACTCTGGTATATAACATTGAGCTATTGGTTTGAAAAGGGGTGACCTCTCTGCGCAAATGACTTCTTTTCCAAACAGAGCTGCACAAGGTAAGATTCTGGGTTAATAGCTTTTATAATGATTAAAAGTAAAATGTAAACCTGGTGTAGCTAGAGCTTACAGCCCTACAGCAACTTACAAAATCATCAAGTAATTTTAACAAACTGCGTATGCAAGGATATTTCTATAGGGAGAGGGTAGGTCAGACTCCAGTCTCTCTTTAAAAGGCTGCCAAGACACCCTGGACTCAGATGATAAAGCATCTGTGTATTCTCTGAGGCCAAGAACAGGAAAACGTGTCTCAGCAGGCAAGGGGGTAAAGCGATACCTTTATAAAAGACATATTAAAAAGTGACAGTTCTCTAAGGATTTTCTCGAAACTACCATTATAGTTACATAATCTCTCTTTCCCCAGAAAATCCACTTGGATTAAGCTCATGAACCAATGGAAATGTCAGTGATTGGGATGGTTGTATATCAGAGTGAAACAATGTTTATCTGTTAAACTGAATTTTATATCCATGTGACATTCAGTCCCCCTCACCCCCAAGATCTGGGATAGTGAAAGGTCCATTGATTTGTTGGCCTTTTCTGTATGGTGCTAACTGCTGAAGTACTTGCCTCCAGAATAGGCACCTCTGCTCTTGGCTAGAGCCACAAACATCCCTGATCCCATTGGTGGCATTTTCCTATTAAGTTGGGCGCACATTTCCACAGAGACACAATCAAACATTGCCTATTAGGATTAGAAATAAACCTGAGGACTGAAAGACTGAATATACAGACCATGACCAGACCATATATAAAAATAGAATGTTGACCCACAACCTGCAGCAATCTGCCCAAGAAACCAACTCCTATTTATAGTGAGCAACCCAGGAATCCAGCCTGCTATATAAATCACACTTGCAGAAAGCCAGATTGTTATCTTAGAAGGTAAATAGTTTCTGTAACAATTGGCCCCAGATGGCCAGGCCTTAATTACTGACAGCTTCCCTAATTTTGCCCCTGCTTCTAACTTAGGGCCAACTAGAGAAAGCCAAACTTGTACCTCTTACCTATCATACAGAGTGCCCCGCACCTGTACCTCTTACCTATCATGCAGGGTGCCGCGCACCTGTACCTCTTACCTATCATACAGGGTGCTCCGCACCTGTACCTCTTACCTATCATGCAGGGTGCCGCGTACCTGTACCTCTTACCTCTCACGCAGGGTGCCGAGCACCTCTACCTCTTACCTATCATACGGGGTGCCGCGCATGTAGTTAGCTTACCTCTAGCTTCTTCATGCCAGCAGTCCAATCAGAGCACACTTGAGCCTTCTCTTCTGTGGGTCTTAAAGCTTTTGCATTCCTCTGCGCGCCTTTGAATCTCTCGCAAACGCAACTGATGGTGGCTGACTCAGAATCGTTAGCCTTTGCTTTTCTCCTTTGGTTCAGTACTTTGGTTTAAATAGGCCTTGTGAGCCTATTTAAATGGATTCAAACTGCCATGCATTCACTTATTTACTGAATAAATATTTACTAAAAGCTTCAATAGGTCGGGCACGGTGGCTCAAGCCTGTATTCCCAGCACTTTGGGAGACCGAGGCGGGCGGATCACGATGTCAACATATCCAGACCATCGGGGCCAACATGGTGAAAAGCCGTCTCTACCAAAAATACAAAAATTAGCTGGGCGTGGTGGCCCGTGCCTGTAGTTCCAGCTACTCGGGAGGCCGAGGCAGGAGAATTGCTTGAACCTGGGAGGCGGAGGTTGCAGTGAGCTGAGATTGCATCACTGCACTCCAGCCTGGCGCCTGGCCACGGAGCGAGACTCTTTCTCAAAAAACAAAAAAGGCTTCAATATAGGCCATATTCCTTGCTAGGCACAGCAGCAAATGAAGTAAGATATGGTCCCTACCCTAGAGGACAGTAACTTGGCAACTAAGGGGATGAACAGGATGACTTGGCAACCAAGTCAGAGGGCATTAAAATACCGAGGCAGCGTTTTTTTTTTACAAATTGCATGTCAATTCCTGGATTCATAACTTCCAGGAAGGAGTAGCTAAACATTTCAACTTTAATCGTTATACACTTGAATGCAGATTAGAAAAATAAGCATTTTAAGTTTAGCAAACCCATGATTTCAGATAATACTGCTTTAGGATGTCTGTAACAGCTAAAGTCTAGTCTGAGGATTAAAAGCCGCCCTTATTTTAACAGAGGAAATTAAATATTAAGAATTGTTAATTGGGTATTAAAGAACTAAACAAGGCAGAAGGAAACCACTGAGGTATCATGCAGGAAGCTGCCACTCCTAGGGAAGAGAGTGAAATTGTTCAATTTCTGAAACTTTGGAGGGGTCCCAAAGAGCGAAAACTAAGATCTCTAACAATAAGTTGCTGTTCTTTTAATACGAGTGTCTCCGAGTTGGGTGGGGAAGCCCTGCGGCCAAGGCATTGGACAGATGTCTGAGTAGGTACAGGGTCGTTGGTGCTGGTGATGTCTCTGAGTTGCTGTGGGCTGTTGCAGTAAGTGTTGGGAAGACTAAACGGGCATTAACAATTGTTCTTGGAACACCAGACTCTGCTGGGGTGCAGGCGTTTTGAAGGTGACAAAGAAATAGGAAATGAAGAGGAAGCAGAGAGAAGAGACATCCTGTTCTTCCTATAGCCTCGCCATCTCCACCTGGGCTTCCACTGGCTGATCCTAATTTAGAGTTATGTATATATCTATGTAACAAACCTGCACGTTCTGCACATGTACCCCAGAAATTATTTATATATATATTTATATATGAGTATATATATTTGTGTATATATGTGTGCATATATATAAGAATTGGCTGCATAGGAGAAAGGGGGTTTGCTCAATCCCAGCACAGCACTAAAAGCTGAATACATAGGGTGAGTTTGATTCTGTGAAGCAACAGCTTCGAATATGCCATAGCCCACCCCTTGAGCCATTCAGCATTCACACACTGAGCACTTCTAAACTTCCTGCAACAAGGAAAACAACTGCTTCTACCAAATACACAGCAATCGTCCTTTTTACAAGATAGCATCACCCTTTCTCCAAAATGAGGAGACATAGTCCCAGCAGACATTCTATCAGTTAGTTACATCAAAATTTTAGTCACAGACCCACCTAATATTCTTACCCTACAACTAAATAGCAGTTAACTCCCTAAGAAAAGAGTGAGGTGAGAGAAGAAATTAGCACCCGCACACATGCACACACGCAGAAGTCACCCCTAGGTATCCAAGGACTGGCTCGAGGACTGGTATCCTGCAGATACTAAAATCCAGATGCTTAAATCCCTTACGTAAGACAGGATGTTTGCATGTACCTTATGCACAACCTCTGCGTCCCTTAGACCATCTCTAGATGATTTATGATGCCTAATACAATGTCAAAGCTATGTAAATAGTTGTCATACTGTATTGCATCTGATGTGTATTATTTTTTATTATTTTTATTTTTTGAGTACTTTCTGTGGTTAGTCAAATCCACAGATGTGGAACTCACGGATACGGAGTGCCAATCCTACGTGTAACAGCTGCAGTAATTTGTTTCTGTAACTGGTTAGTCATAAGACTGAAATAACAAATTTCCTTGTTTCCTTACACATCCCATGGTTCCTATTCCCTCAGCCAGTAGCTCAACTTCTCAGGGTTGGTGGGGTGTACCAACCATCATTGCCTAAAGGGCCTCATTCCCCTTTGAGATCATTACAGCTCTCCCTTAAAAGGTAGTGGCATACATAGGAGGTGCTAAAAACACCCTAGAGAATCCTCGGGTTCCAGATGCCTTTCTCGCCCATCCATTGTGTAGGAAGGACACAAATGCCTTTGTTGCCAGGATCGCTTGCACCAGCCAGAACAGTAAACTCCAGCCTGTTGGTTCAGTGAAATGGCTGGATAGTTTCAATTCCTGGCTTAATGGAGCCAATGTTGTGTTCCCTAGTGGGAGCACTTCTCCCTCGGGAACTCATTGAGAGAAGCAGGAAACAACCCCCCTTGGGTGGCACCACTCCATCTACTTCTGCTTGATTCCAGACCATGCATTCTGACTCAGAACAGCCCCGTGTAGCAGTCACTCAAAGCATTTGTTACATTTGTCAGATGGAGTCGTATTCCACCTAGTGCCATAACTGAGTCTTCAGCAGACCATTGCATCGTCCTATTATGCCCGCTGTTCCTGGGTGATATGCCAAGGTCAGTGAGTTTGAGAGGCATAAGCCCATTGATCCCCCTTGTATTATGGTGAAATGGGTTTGTCAATCAGAAGTCACACTGTGCAGGCAGGTACAGAAGACGTGCGCTAAGTCCCTGGACTGTGGTGCTGGTAAGGCACTGGGAAGAACTTCTGGTTACTTCCCAGAGTTGGAAGGGGCTTCATTCTCATACTTGTAATGACAAAAAGGCCACATTAACTTCAAATTCCTATCTATTCTCATAACTCACATGAGAACTGAGGTCACAGAGCAATACAATTTTACAGGGATTTGGGGAGAGAGGAGACATGTACCCTCATTCATTTGCTGGGAGCAAAATTAAATCAGTTTTTGACATCCTAGGTGCATACCTCCAGACAGACAGACACACATACACACAATTAATTCTGTGTGCTTCTTTCTATACTTAGCATGTAAAATAGACTTCACTATGAGACTGGACCATTTGTTAGTGATAAATTCTACTGGGCTATAATGTAAGAAATTGACGGTTGTTTTTGACCCATAAGAGGCAATTTCTGATGGTTCAACCTCATACATCACTACATTCTGATCAGCTATTTTTTACAATTACTATGTGGAAAAGAGTTGTATTACTGAATCAAACTGAAAATATTATTTGAAAGTACAAGAAAATACAGAAAGTATGTCAAAGTAGATTTTTATTACAGAATAATTTTTTCTATTAATTCAATGCTTTAAATAAAACAACATAATACCATAAACTGACAATGGCCTGGTAGCATGTAAATACTTAAGGCCGGAGAGGCATGTTTATTCTTGATAAATATAATAAAGGGCAATTTAAACTTTGGCATCGGTTTACATGAGTCAATTCAAGGTCAGTGACTGGAGAACTGTATTAAGAGAAACCAGAGGTCAAAACACTCTTCAGGAAGGGGCCCTCTAACAACGTACATTTGAAGATTGGGGGGTAAAAATCCACTCTGAATGAACGCCATTAAGCAAAGGATGTACAACATCCATCAACATCTGTTTCAAAAACAGCATGTTTCTAAAATGATACATCTCTTTACAAAGTAAACATTACAGTATTAGTAACTACAGAGCCGCCACCGGGGTGCGCTCCAGATCCGCCGCTGACTTCCATGAAGCTCCCGTGGGCCACGGCTCAAGGCATCATCTTAATCCTGAGGCTTTAAGAACATCTTCTTTGCTTTAATCGGTTGTATGTCTCCATTTTCATCTTCTTCATAATTGGCATGGTCTCTCTTTCTGGCAAACTTTTTCCCAATTGTCCCCACCAAGGTCTCATATCTGTCAAGAGGACAGACAGCAAATGTTTAATTTCAAATAAAAAGGTAGGAATCATACTGTGCAGCCATAAGCAAGGATGAGTTCATGTTCTTTGTAGGGACAGGGATGAAGCTGGAAACCATCATTCTTATTAGCAAACTGACATAAGAACAGAAAACCAAACACCACATGTTCTCACTCTTAAGTGGGTGTTGACCAATGAGAACACATGGACACAGAAGGGAACATCACACACCAGGGCTTGTCAGGGGCTTGGGGGCTAAGGAAGGGACAGCATTAGGAGAAATACCTAATGTAGATGATGGGGTGATGGATGCAGCAAACCACCAAGGCACATGTATACCTATGTAACAAACCTGCATGTTCTGCACATGTACCCCAGAACTTAAAGTATATACATAAAAAAAGAATTGTAATACACACACACATACACACACACACACACACACACACACACACACGAATCAAGCCTTGTCAGGAATATCAGACCAAATATGCAATAAAAAAGATTAAGAAAAAGAAAAATATGATTAAAATAAACCATCAAATTTAACAATTTATGAACTTCTCTAAGAGTGATTAAATTCCTTGCCATTTTGGAGTTGCCTAAACAAATTGAGTTGTACATTTTAAAATACATATTTCCTGCAGCACTGGAAATGGGCTCTCATCTGGCAGCCTAAGACAGGTCTGTGGCCCCCGCAGGCCACGTAAGAGAAGGCCAATCATGGTCATTGTCCTACTGGGGGACTCCCTTTAAAGCTGCCGTGGACTGTGGGGTAAGAGGAGTATTCCTGGGAGAGCCAACGAATGCTTGGTCCAGATGAGAAAGCTGCTGCCCAGGAGAGTTACCTTCTAGCCATCTCTTCATCTGACACATCGAGCTCCACTGTTTCATCTTCAACTTCTTCTGCTTTGTGCTTAGCATTCATATGAAGCATCAATTTCTGAAAAATACACCAGTGCTGACCTTCAGGCTAGAAAAGGCTTGTGAAAGGAACTGATGTCAAACTTATTTGAAGGCAGAGAAACTGAAGTCAAATACTCTAGAGAACTAGTCAAAACTGATAAGCGATTCTCTGTAATACTCGATACCGCAACAGTCTAACAAAAGTCAGCTCTAAGTCAAAAAAAACAGTAAGGCGAAGCACCACTGGATTATATTTAGTGTGAATTGAAAGTGTATTTAAGATCATAAATCTTAGTATTAGTGACTCATATCTAAAGCAGGCATACTGCTGACATATTCCAGTGAGTGGGGGAAGAGATAAACTTTCAGATTTTCTCTTAACTTCCCTTACCCTGTCTTTGAGCCAAATGAAGAAGAACTAACAGTCAACAGTAATTTTTTTTTTGAGACAGAGTTTCACTCTGTCACCCAGGCACAATCTCAACTCACTACAAGCTCCGCTTCCCGAGTTCAAGCGATTCTCCTGCCTCAGCCTCCAGTGTAGCTTGCATTACAGGTGCCTGCAACACACCCAGCTAATTTTTTTTTTCTGTCTCTCTCTCTCTCTCTATCTATATATATATATATATATATATTTTTTTTTTTTTTTTGAGACAGAGCTTCGCTCTTGTCACCCAGGCTGGAGTGCAATGGGGCGATCTCGGCTCACCGCAACCTCCGCCTCCTGGGTTCAGGAAATTCTCCTGTGTCAGCCTCCTGAGTAGCTGGGATTACAGGCACGTGCCACCATGCCCAGCTAATTTTTTTGTATTTTTAGTAGAGACGGGGTTTCATCATGTTGACCAGGATGGTCTTGATCTCTTGACCTCGCGATCCACCCGCCTCGGCCTCCCAAAGTGCTGGGATTACAGGCTTGAGCCACTGTGCCTGGCCTAATTTTTTGTATTTTGAGTAGACATGGGGTGTCGCCATGTTGGCCAGGCTGGTCTTGAACTCCTGACCTCATAATGCGCCTGCCTTGGCCTCCCAAAGTGCTGGGATTTTAGGCGTGAGCCACTGCACTTGGCAGCAGTCAAGAGTAATTTTTAATGCATCTCTTGGGTGGTGGTGATGGTGGGTGGAGGAGGCGGGAGAACTGGAACCTTGACCCTGGTATAATGGAGGGAATCTGCACCTCAGCCTCACCCTCCTAAACCTGAGGGTGGATAATGCATCCCATGTAACATCCATGTGATACGGGTCTCTCCTCCATCTCTTTCATATTAACCTTTTTGTGATAATTATCCTGTGACCTTATTTTTTTTTTTTTAAATGTGTAATCTCTTCTTTATAGCAAGAGGAGGATAAGGAATAAAAGATTAAGAAGCCAGTCTCAACTAGTTTTTCTAAGGCTTAAAAGAGTGATAATAGTTCAAAACCTTTTCCCAGGAGGACTGTACTCAGTGTTACAGAACCCAGTAATTGGGGACATTTTCTAACACCCGCCCCTACCCCCCGCCATCACCTTCTGCGGGCAGTCGCACCTCTCCTTTCCCACTGTAGCAGACGTACTTTGGAACGCCCACCTATCCACAACTCCATTCTTTGGATACAGCATGTTCAGAATCCACCGCCTTTTTCTTCCCTCTTCACCCACTGCCCAACCCTTTCCTTCTCAATCTAAAACTTAAAGCAGGTCAAAGCAAGACCAGGATATACCAAAAACAAACACTTCTAGTGTTTGACTCTGTGTAAAGTAAATATAACACCTTAATTATCAATATGCCTCCTTCCACCTCACCAAAAAAGCAGAAAAGGAAAATCAACCTACAATCTTTCTATAAACTCTGGCAACTGGATTAGCTAACTACAGCTCGTGGAGAAGTGGTTCTTCAATGGGGATGATTCTCCCCACCAGGGAACCTGTGGCAGTGTCTGGAAACATTTTTGGTTGCCACAACTGGATTAGAGGGTGCGGTGTGTGTGTGCTCATGACATTTAGTTGGTAGAGAACAGAGGACATGTGGGTCGTCATCCTTTCAGGACAGCCACCACCACAAAGAATTATCTGGCTCCAAATGTCAACACTGCCGTGGGCGAGAAATCCTGGCTTCAAGTAATATTTACAAAACTAAAGATTTATATCTCAAGCGTCCATTGGGTTCATCAAGTACCTGACAGGATGGCTTTTAACATATGAGCCAGAGGTCTAATGAATATCTGCTAAATAAAGCTCTGCTTCTCTATCCTGGAGCAGGAAAATTCAAATGAATAGCTCAGTTATAAGGCAAAGATTCATTTTCCAAAACAAACTTTCCAAAGGATTCATTTAAAAATCTACTTACAATCTTGGATTAAAACCTGTCGATTAAAAAGTCAAATTACACAATTCTAAAGTAACATTTTTCTATTAGAAAAAAATACATTTATAGATGCCAGAAAATAACTTTTCATAACAGCATCATATGAATAAAATCTTGACACTGCTGTACAAGACTCAAGTTGAAATTCTAATATTTACAGTGGCACTGCCAAGGGCTGCATACTGCTATATTAAATCATCTACTCGCCTCTACCATAAAACTAGACTGCAATGCCTGCAATTTCTTTAAATAGCTATGGCAATATTTCAAGACTTGTTATTTTCTATATAACAAGTAGAAATTGCACCTGGTGGGGAAACACCTAAGCCCAATTATTAGCAGAAAATATTCAATCGGAAAAAGTTTAAATTTGAAGCAATTATATTTAATACCTCAACCTCAGGATTAAATCCTCTGAATGACATTCTTCCATAGAGAAGGTCTTCACATAATAAGAAACTCTGCTCTTCTATTATGAAACTCCTAAATGGGAAAATAAACCTATATTAATACCATGTCTCCTTATATAAAGCACAGCAAATAAAAGCCAAAACATTGAATAAAAAATCAACCTTATGGTTCTCAATAGAATGAAGTAAAAATACAGTAAGATTTCCAACTTAGGGTTAAAAATAAAAACTGATTAATTTGGTCAGCAAAGGCATGAGGAGACAAGAGCAGCAGGCTGGAGGCATAGCCCCTCTTAACCACCACATTTAATTTGCATAAATACCTACATGATATAAAGACCAAAGGTATTTACAATAAACTTGAATTTGCAAAGGATGCAGCAAAGTTTCTTTTGTGTTTACATCCCCTCACCAAACTGTTTTTTCAATTCTTTTTCAGAAAGGAAATAATGTGTATATAAAAATACACATACAATATACAATGATATACTACTGCAAACCATTTTACAAAAGTTCCTGGCATGTTTTGTCTTTCGTTCTCAGGGATTTCAAAAATTCCATTCTCTAATTATCAAAGTAGCACCTTTCAAGGAACATAATTTGAAAAGCAGAATAAAGTATGGGTTTATAACCTGCCTGGAAATTCCCCACCAAGAGGTTAAAAAGGACTGTTAGTTACTATGTTGGGACATTTCCTTCCAGTCTTTTTTACACTTGCATTTACGCTGATTCTTGAACACAGGTTTGAGCTGTGTGGTGCACTTATACACAGATTTTTTGAAAGATATTTCAATAGTTTTGGGGGAACAGCTGGTTTTGGTTACACAGGTAAGTTTTTTAGTAGTGACTTCTGAGATTTTGGTCTCCACCAAATTCTTATTCCATATCTAGGAGAAGTGGGAACTCAGGGGCTTGGGCAGCTTTAGCGGTGTCATCAGTCAGAACCCTTAGCTATAAACACCAAAGACTGACCCTGGATGACTTTAGCAGAGAAGGAATTTACTGTAAGAATACTGTAGGCTCTTTATTTCCAAGGGGAATTGGTTCCAGGACTCCTTGTGGAGACCAAAATCTGTGATACAAAGGGCCGAGTATACTGGGCATCTCAGAATCACAGAGAAGGCTGGAGGGGCAGAACTGGAAGATGGGCAGAAGTAACAGTTGCTAGGTAGTTGCACCGAAACCAAAATCATGCTACAGAAAATGACTCTAGGAAAACCGGTGCTGCTGCTGACAGGGCTGAGCACTGACAGCATCGGGGCAGGCTGCGTTCCCCTGGACCAGGACCTTATTGTCTCCAGCAGAATTTCTTTGCTGAGTCACGAGTTCAAAACGCTAAATCCATGGTGACATATCTGTCTCCAGCCTGGCCATAAACCCTTACGTATGGCAAGAAAGCAAACATCTGGCCTTTAAGGCTTGTCTGCTGGAGTAGGCTCTGATTCTCATAAAGATTCCCTCATCCAACAAACACTTACTAAACCAAACTGCGTGCAGGCACTGTTCCAGAAACTGTGGAAACAGCCACCAATAAAAGAGCCTCAGCCAGGCATAGTAGCTCACGCCTGCAGTCCCAGCTACTCAGGCGGCTGAGTCAGGAGAACTGCTTGCACCCCTGAAGTGGAAGTTGCAGTGAGCCAACACTATGCCACTGCATTCCATGGGTGACAGAGACTCCGTCTGCAAAAAAAAAAAAAAAAAAAAAAAAAAAAGGCCTCTGCTCTCATGGAGGTTACAATCTATAGAAAGAAGGGCTAAATAATGAATGAAACATTTATATCATAAAATGGATGAAAATATAGGTTATTCCATCCCTAGCGGTAGGGGAGTAATTAGTACAGAACTAGCTTTCCCACACCATAACTATAAAACAGGACAAAATATTAAATGACTATTTTAAGATAATGAACCAGTCCAAGCAAAGGACTATGATGCCTGAGAGAAGAAAACCAAATGAAATAAGCCCCATGAATGCACAGTTTTCCACCTAGGGGCAATTTCAAGATTGTGGAGCAGTGAGTGGAAGCTCACATAAGGCCCAGTCTTGCTGAGCTCAAGAGAGACCAACTGTTTCATTGCCGCTTCAGCTGAAAACAAAAAACAAAAAACATAAAAAAACCAAAGACACAAACTGAAGTTTGGGGCTATGCAGATGGCTGGAATATCTGGGTGAGGAGACCACAGAAAGGGAGCTACACCATGGAATTCAGGACCAGCATGTGGGATTCCCTTGAACCTTTGGCTGACTATTAAGCTGCACATGTGGAGGATGAGTCTTCAGATTTAGGAGAAAAATAACTGCTGGTGAGATGATTTCTGGGAGAATACCAACTGTATTAGCTTCCCACGGCTGCCATAACAAATTTAAGCTGACAAAATTGGTTTCTTAAAGCAATAGAAACTTATGCTCCTACAGTTCTGTACAAAATCCAGATGTTGGTAGGCCTGGGATCCCTCCAGAAGCTTCCAAGGGTAAAAGGCCTTCTGTGTGTCAAATCTTCCTCAGCTTCCTCCTTGTAAGGAAAGGTGATTACATTTAGGGCCTGCACAGATAATCCAGGATAATCTCTCATCTAAAGATCTCTAATTTACTCATATATCAGCAAGGTAAATTTTGCCATATAAGGCAACACTCACAGGTTCCAGAGATCAAAACCAACCTAGATGTTATTTGGGGGACTATTTTCCAGCCTACCATAGCCAGGAAAAAAAATTTACCCTGCAATTGTATGTCGAAGAAATAATAGAGTTTGCACAAAGAAAGGAAATGTGTGAGTTCTGCCTGGCCAGAGAGGAAAGAGACCAAGCTAAACACCCTGTGGATTTAGCAGAAAGGCCACATCTTAGGAGTAGAGACAATTTAGCTTCAGGGTAGAAGCTACAAAACACACACTGACAAAAACAAGCTGATTGGCATGTAAGTTAACTGCCTAATGAAATAAAAGTCAACACTCTATTAAGAAAAGCTGGCCGGGTGCGGTGGCTCACGCCTGTAATCCCAGCCCTTTGGGAGGCCGAGGCGGGTGGATCACGAGGTCAAGAGATCAAGACCATCCTGGTCAACATGATGAAACCCCGTCTCTACTAAAAATACAAAAAATTAGCTGGGCATGGTGGCGCATGCCTGTAATCCCAGTTACTTGGGAGGCTGAGGCAGGAGAATTGCCTGAACCCAGGAGGCGGAGGTTGCGGTGAGCCCAGATCGTGCCATTGCACTCCAGCCTGGGTAGCAAGAGCAAAACTCCATCTCAAAAAAAAAAAGAAAAGTTACGAAATCCAGGCAGTCAGCAATGTAATACATATAAATGTGCAGCACACAATAAGAAATTATTGGACATGCAAAGAAGCAAGAAAATGTAATTCCCTCACAGAAAGAACAACAGAAGAAGATGAATGAAGTCGTAGAAATGGACTTTAAAACAACTACTGTAAACATGTTCAAGGATTTAAATGAAAACATGAATGCAATGAAGAAACAAATAGAAAGCCTGAATTAAGAAATAGAGACTGCAAAAAAACACTAGATAGAATTTATATAATTAAAGGAAAAAACACTTTAAAAAAAGAAATTATATAACTGAAAAAAAAATCTGAAGGGAAAAATTGGATTAGTCCTATATCTATTAAATACATGGAATTCATTACTAAAAATCTTTTCACAGAGAAAGATTCAGATCCAGATGGCTACACCGGTGAATTTCACCAAGCATTTACAGAAGAAATAATTTCAATTTTACACAAACCAAGAACTGAGAAAAGGAGACAGGAACACTTTCCAATTCATTTTATGGCCAAAACCAAAGACATAACAAGAACTCCACAATCTAGTATCTTTTATAAACGTAGATGCAAAAATCATTAATAAAATGTCAGCAAACTGAATTTAAAAATTTTAAATGTTACATATGAATACCAAGTAGAATCTATGTCAGAAATACAAGGCTGTTCTGATATTCAAAAGTCAATACAGTTTTCAACACATTAACAAAATAAAAATCATGGTCTTCTCATAAAAAATTATTTGACAAAATTCAACATCATTTATGATGAAAACCCTCAGCAAACTAGGAAAATAAAGGATATCTCTGACATTGATAAAGGGCATTCATGAAAACACAGCACTTCATATGTAATAGAGAAAAAGCAAATGCCTTCCCAACTATGATCAGAAACAACTCAAGGAGCACTCTTGTTGTTTCTATTCAATATTGTACTGAGGTCCTTAGCCACGAAATAAAACAAGAGGAGATAAAATGTATAACTCTCTTTCTTTGCAGATGACATAATTATCATCTGCATAATTAATCACTTTTAAGGAATCGACAAAAAACTACTTGTGAGTCATTTTACCATTACAGAATACAAAGTTAACATACAACCATCAATTTCTACACACTCCCCAACCCCATTCATACACACAATAAACGAGTTTGATATGATACATAAAACTAAGAAATACTTAGGGATAAACAGTGCAATGAGTATAAAAGATTTTTTCAATAAATTTTAATAGGTGCAGTGGCTCATGCCTGTAATCCCAGCACTTTGGGAGGCCAAGGTGGGCAGATCACCTGAGGTCAGGAGTTCGAGACCAGTCTGGCCAACACGGTGAAACTCCATCTCTACTAAAAATACAAAAATTAGCTGGGCATGGTGGCAGGCGCCTGTAATCCCAGCTACTCGGGAGGCTGAGGCAGGAGAATCACTTGAACCCAGGAGGCAGAGGTTGCAGTGAGTTGAGATTGCGCCACTGCACCCTAGCCTGGGCAATAGGGTGAGACTGTCTCAAAAAAAAAAAAAAAGTTCATAGGGCCACAGGTTATCTACGAAAAATATATCCTTTAATCTACTTCATGCTGTACATAAACAATTAGAGGCAAACCACAGATTAAAATTTCAGCACTAAAACTACAAAAATTCTAGAAGCAAACAGAAAATATCTAACCAAGTTGCCATAGTCAAGGATTCATTAGACAGGACTCATAAAGAATAAACCATAAAAGAAAAAAAATTAATGAAACAACACGATAAAAACTCATCAAAAGACAACATTAACAGACTAGAAGAAAATAT